CTGCCTGCCTACACAACCCACCAGCCAGGTTAGATCAGTACTGAAATGAACCAGTTGATGTTTAAGTCTGTTCTGTTTCTGCATGATGTCTTGTTTCCTTCAGACTATTTCAAGGTAGTATTTCTGAAGCTCTATAAACCTCCTCACAAATTATTAAAAATTTTTTTTTGCCATCAAGGATCCAAGGACAACTGGAAAGTCCTGGAAAGATCAATGGTATGCTGAACTAATCTGAGGTTTTTGACCAGATATATAGAAAGGCCAAACCACTGTAATGTCAATGTGAAAAATTATATGATATGCAGTGCTTGAATGATACATAATTCTTTGCATTTTTACTACCTTGCTAGAATAACTTAATGATTGTTTATTAAAACTCAAGGGAATGCAGGCATAAAAGTAATTTTAAAAGTTAGCTTTCATCTAGGTGTGTTTTTACTTAAGTGATTTTGAACAATTAGTTGCCTCAAAGATTGGATAAATGTGCCTGAACCATATCTCAGGCTCTTATTTCCCCTCTTGCTACCTGGAAAACTTGGTGTCCAGAGGCTGGAAAGTGATGTGCTTGTTCACCAGTTCATTTTATTTCATATATCAGTCTCTTTGGATTTGTTCAATGAGATGTTCTTGCTCATATGCCTTCTGTTCCGCAGACAAACCTTCCAAGCCCCAGATTTGCCACAGGTGGTATGATGTTTGCTTTTCCCAGTGTGCTGTGGGGTTTTTTTCCACATGTAAATTTGTTGAAAAGGGTTTCCTTAATGAATTCCTATCTGTGGACATGAACTTTGAAGTAGGATTTGGAAATTTGATATGGCTGCTTGCCCTTCACAAAATTCACATTCACAACTGTAATAGTCCTGTAAAAGCAATATACTCACAGTTTTTCAAACTCTCTGGGTTACAGCAACTCTGGCTAAGTTTTCTGGTGGCATTCTTGAGGCTGTTAACCGAAGCATCTTCCAGTCTGCCACGTGGGTCTGCAGTGTATTTTCACTGTGCACAGATTGCTAACAAAAAGCCTATTGTTCAGGACTATAGTTTACCTGAAAAGGATTAACTCTGCCTCTGAAACCTCTCCCATCTCTGGTTAAGAGAGCCCTCAGCTGCCTCGAACTCTGACACTGCACACAGAGACATGTTGTGAGCACCACATGCTTTTCTCATTCTCCCCTTTGCTCCCACCCCAAATCTCAGATGCTGAAGGTTATTGCCCCTGGGTTTTTTGTGGGTATTTTATTTAACTCTTTGTCTCTAGGCCATGTCTGTGCCATGATCTGAATTTACAGAACCTTTAAAACAAGTTCTGTTTCATAAATTGAAGTAAAGGTATGATTAGCTGAACAGCCACCCTGCAGAAGTGACACGCTGATGGCTGGAGGAAGTGAAGGAGCAGGAAAGAAGTAACTGGAAGCTGGAGTGAATGGTCAAGTATTTAACCTGTGATCTGTACAGATGAGTCCTTGTATGATCAGGTACTTAATTGCAATTGAATTACTTTAACTGTTACGTTACTTTAATTAAAGTTACTTTCCAAGCTTACTTTCCTTAAATACATACTGTATTTAACAGGTAGCACAGTCCTTTGTGAGAAAGAGCTAATTTAAGATGAATAAAGTACTTCAGCTGAAAAGTGGTGAGGCAGTTGGGGCAACGTGGGAATGAATCAGAGGAACAGAGTGCAGGCAAAGTCAGGTGTCTGAGAAGTTTTTGGCATCAGAAGAAGAGACAGGTGAAGGAATGAGTTGAATGTGGCCCTGGAACTGAAGGAACTGGAACTACTGAGAAGGGAAGTAGTAACTAGAGATAAATGGTAAGACAAGAAAAAAGGAATCCACAGCCTGAGAAGAGTTTGCTCTTCAAAGTGAATCAGTCTGACTGGAGCTTTGCCACTGTGAGTCCCTGCTGTCTGTCTGTCCTACTTAGAGCTGCTGGTTCCTGCACTCTGTGCTAGCAGGGTGACCACCTCTACCCCTCCAACCCCCTCCCTCCTGAATGAGGTTTAAATGAGCCCAATTTAGATATTCTGACAGTTCCGTGGGACCTGCCAGTGGCAGAAAATCTACATTTTTCTGAGTTAGCTAGGTCGCTACTGTATTCGTACAATTCAGATTATTCTTTTCCCAGATTGAATTCTGGTATCTTTCAGTTAATAGTATGTAAGGATCTCAGATTTAATCTTAGCACTGAAAAGAATTTGTAGATAAATTTATGGATATAATATGTTACTGGTGACAAGCATTGCGAGGCTTTACTTTTGAATTTGTGCCTCTTATGGTTGTTGTAGTGTATAAAGTTCTGAAAAATTAGAGTTGTGAAAAAATTTATTCAGTTGTTTTATTTTATTCTTAATGGTACTTGTGTCGAAAATGCCATCGAGAATGGCACGAAACATTTTGAAAAACTTACACATTAATAATTAAGCAGTTTGGATAACCATATAAAAATAAATATTTAAGTAAATTGATTTTTATAGAATTAAGTATGTTCTCAAGTAGCATTTCATGCTGATGAAGTGGAATAAATAGTAACACAGTGAGGTCTCTCACATAATTTAATAATTGTCATTAACTCTTGTCCCATTTCTCACAGAGGGTTTATAGTTCCTCTTTTAAAAATGGGAGAGATGAGTTTGGAACTGACACAAAAATTCTGTAAGTCATAAAAGAGGCTGTGTCCGCATTACCAAGCAGTGAGGTGTAATAGGATCAGATCTGTCAGGTGCTGTGAACCTGGCATCTGTGCCCTACAGGTGGGGAGAGTTTGATTTCAGGCTGGTCCCGGTCTGATTCTGTGGCTGAATTCCTGTTGGTGGTTGGAGCGTGTACAAGGTACACCTGAAGCTCATCCTGTGATCTGATTTTATTCAACAGAAATCTGGTTCCTGTACTTGATGGCTGCTTTGCAATGTAAAGCAAAGCAAGGAAAGTAGGGTTGTTTGGGAGATGGACTTGAGAAGTGCAGTCCTGATTTGAATTAAATGCTAATGTAGACATACCTGGAGTCGTGCAGATCAGGAAGTTCACCAAAATAGTTTTGTTTGGTAAGAGAGCTTGTATATCTGATACATGGGATTGGGATCAGGAAAGGCAGGGAATGCTCACAGAGTTGAGAACAGTTACTTCATCAGTTTGAGAGTTTGGAAAACTGTTAGGAGGACATGGTTCTAAAACAAACCAAACCTGAGCAGCAGTGTTCAGAAATGTCTCTGCTTTGTAAAGCGGCCTTTTTAATAATACAGAGTGGACTTTGTATAAATCAGATACTGGATACGGGGAGATTGGAGGGGTGAAAACAGAAAGCACACCAACGTTTTTTCTGTCTGTTATTGTTCTGGAGTTGAACAGAAGATTCCTTGCTTAGAGAGAGGCGAGAGATGGATATATTTTGCAGATTCTTTACTTAGTTTAAAAAAGGGAAGACAATTTCCACAAACACTGTTTCATGGCCATAATGTTTTTTCAGTTTTACCGTGGAAGAAATAAGTCAAGTGTCAGCCTGTCTGCTCAGAGGAGACAGTTGTCTTTAAGAATTGGTGCTATCTGATATTCAGGATGGGTTCGGGTTACCATTGAGCACAAATTTATTATTTATTACCACGACTATTAAACCTCAGTGTGTGAGGAACTGCTTATAAATGGACATGGAGACAGAAGCATTCTGACCTTCTTGAAACGGTAAAGGTCTTTATGCTGCTTAGAAAGGAAAAGAGGAGGAGAGTGGATGCTGAAACTCTCCCTCTGCTGGAATCATGCAGGCACATGATTTGTCCATCTGTACCCATACTGTTGGCCTTGATATTCAAAACTAAGTCATTACATCTGAACACTGTAAGATTGATTGTGTGTGTTTTTAATAGTATAGCCAGATGAGTGGTGTTGAAGCCTGTGTGTTATCTTCAAGGTTAAGATCACAGTCATAAGACTGGGACTTCTAAACGATAAATTTCTTGTAGGATCCTCTTGAAAGCTTTGGATGATGGAAACATTTAAAAATTGTGACAGTGATAAAAAGTGGGAATAGTTGGCAGTAGGTGGCATCTGCTCATCGTGGAATCAAACCAGCAAAGCTGATAAGCCCCTCTCAGCTTTCCACAGTGCATCTGAAAGCGCTGGGATTTGCCAGGAGGCAGGCAAGGCTCTCAGCTGTTGAGAGTGCTGGGTAAGAGCCTGTGCCGTGCTTTCCTCTGATGCTTGGATGTGCACCAGTTCAAAAGCACAAATGAAAAATCAAACCCACCCTATTGCCACTTTTGTCCAAATCCTTGGCTTGCTTTTTTCTTCCCAGGAGTAATTGTGCCTGTGTGCAACTACAGTAAACCTGTTGATCACTTCTCAGTATATTGCAGTGTCTCGTGTAGTGGAACTAATGGGGTGACACCACTGGATTTGTGTGTGAAGCTGCAGTCCTGCAGACTCTCTAGTGTTTAATAAAGATTGACTTGTGCATTGTTTGTTTTTTCTGTTGGTGTCACCAACAATATGTCCTTCCTCTAGGAGCTGACTTTTTAAAAGAGAAAATAAAACCTGGAAACTTGATATCTGGAGGCTTGCAGGTCTGGCTGGTGTAGACCACATGAATCCAAGAGTTATTAGGAGAGACTAGAAAGGCTTATTTTCATAGGAAAACTCTATACAGAGATTTTTAGCACCCTTCCTCCCTGACAGCACCATTCATCTAACACAAATGTGTATTTAATCTAAAGGATAGAAATGTTTTTGTTAGAGTTTTTTAAATAGTTGAGTGATTAATTATATAATATAAATAAAATTATTTTAAAACTGTTTTTCATGTCAGTATTTTACAAATATAGTGCAACTGTGCAGCTTTTGGAAATGCATGAGCCTTAAGAAGTTTTTGTCTAGCTGGGAGCAGCTCATAATAGCAGAAGGTTTCTGTAATTCCAGATAGGAGTATCTGCAGTGTGCAGCTCACATCATAAACTGTCAACACAATTTCTTCAGATATCTCTCTAATCCAATTCTCTTTGTGTTTTGCAGATCAATAGAAATATGCATTTCCATAATATCACCTTTGAACTAATGAAGTGGAAGTACAGATGAAAACAGTCTGGAGGAAGCTTGAAGTACAATACAGTTTCATTCGGTTTCCTAATTCTGAGGTAAGGTTAACACATGCAAAATTTTATTTCAAGTATTTCAGGGATAAAAAGCACATGATAAGCAGCCACCATATCTTTCTAATAAAAAACTTCTAAGCCATGTTTTTGTATGCTAGTGACAGTCTTTAATATCATATTGAAACAGCTGTTTGATCTGACCTCTGTCCACGTTTCAGTCATGGATGAAGACAAATCAGCATCAACTGCAGAGACATCTGTTGCACAAAGACACATTGGAAAAAAATTACAGACAAATTTTGTTTGGTGCAATCTGTCTGGTCATCAATGTTACTAAAAGTTTAGTTGATTATTAATTTATTTTAGTTTATTATTTTCCTGATATGACTGGGCAGAAGCTTTACAGTGTCAAGGGGCAGGGCATGAGCGTATGCAGTTGGGTTGGAAACTCTGGACGCAATTTTAAAAAGGGAAACACAAAACACACACACCCAACCACCTTCACAAGTTGCTTTTTTTGCCTTCTGGTCCACTGTCCTTTTAAAGAGTAGTAGTATTAGCAACAGATGAGGGACAAGGGTTGTTTTATGCTTTCCCCTGTATGTAAATAGCTGATCTGGCAAAAAAATAAAGTGGCAGCACCACTCCCACCATGGAATCTCCCTATCTTGACGTAGTTTGTTTTCTTTTTACTAGGGATTATGGGCTTGTAAGTCAACAAACACACAAATGGCAAAAAGAAGGAGCTTATCAGAACCAAATAAAAGCCAGTCCTCTTGCTAATCATTTCTGCTTCTATGTACTGCCTCTTGTTTTCATACCTTTTGTACTTGAATTTCAATAGCAAGGGGGCAAAGACAAAAGACAAAAAAATAACATCATCAAGGCCAAAAGAGGAAAATGCTATAAATACCAGATGTGAAGAGAGCACATCATGTCAGGTGTTGATCAGACACTTTATGTGCTTCCTGAGTGAGAGATCAGCAGTATGGTATTTCATAGCCTGACCTGCTTTCAGGTATATCTTTAAGCCCATTTATGACTTTGGACACCCTCAAAAACCAGTGAAAGTGAGTGATTTAGTTTTAAACATTTGTTATATATGAAAGGTGTCTTGTTTGCATCTAAAACTGCAGCTTGATAATTTATTTGTTAGCTCCTAGTTGGTTTACAGAGGGAAATAAGGATTAAATCTCTTTGCTTGTCTCATCCATGTAAAGGCTTGATGAAGGGTATCATCTGTCTCTCTTGATAGTTTTCAAGATGTTTTATCTTTCTTCAATATGGAATCTCTGGAATACAGCCCTTTACTGTACTTCTGCTAATTCTACTCTATTTTTTTGAGACAGTGTAAGATGTTCTTACATCTTAATTAGTAGTGTAAATAGGTCTGTTTTCAGGTGCACCTGTGAGTTTGTGCCAGCAATTCTAGTGCAGTGCAACTGGAGAAATTCAGACTAGTCTATTACGCCTGATCAGGAGGGCTGTGTGTGCTTAATTCCCTTCTGGAACTGGTGTCCTGTGTAGTGTTGTCGCTGTATTTAATATAAAGATCTTGGTCGTGTGATTCCTTGTTTTCTTTGGGATGTTGAAAACGGGACTTGGATGACTTCCCACCACCACCCATTAAAATGTAAAATACTCCCTTAGTTTGACTTGCCTGGGGCAAGGTGTGAATTAGAAGAGATTAAAGACCTCTAATGTACAACTGCTGAACCAATAACATTAGTTGATGGTTTAGGAGTAACTTCCTACATTTCAGCTTCTGGTGTCCATAGAGTTGTCATCTTTGTCTCCTCCCCAACCAGCGGTGGTAGAACCATCTTTTCTCGTGTGATGGAGCTTGTTCATTCAGCAGCCAGGAACATGTGCCAGGTGTTTCAGGATGAAGGGTGCCAGTGACAAAATGGTGTTCCTGCAGTGATTTTCTTATTAATCATCAGGACTGCCTAAGATCTTCTCTGTTCAGTTAGGAAACAGTTATTGTGTAAGGTTGAGTTAGCTGCTATTGAATTTCCTTGGTGGCAAACTCTTTACTAGGAGTTAATTCCATAACAAACAGGCTGAGCCACTTCAGACTCAGACCACAAATGGGAAATGCAGGTCAGTGGGCTCGAAGCATTTTCCAGGAGTGGAGTAACCAGAAGTCCGTGTCATGTTGTGAATCATTTGATCAAAACAGGAAGTGCCAGTGGTTCCACTCTGGAGCTGCTCTGTTCTGCAGTGTGCTGTCACACATTTTGCTGGCACTTTGGTGTCCTCCTAACAGACTTTCCTTACATCCATTTACCCTGACTTATCCCAGCTTGTTCCAGTAGTGTGACCATCTTGATCTCAGACTGCACAAACCTTCCCTACTGCTAGGCCAAGACTGGTCAGGCTCAGGAAGGTCAGATTAAGCTGTCTGAGAATCCCTTCATTTTTGTGTTGGCTCCATTTGGCTCAGGAGCTCCTGTTGAAAGTGTAATGGGCAACAAATTTCAAAGAAATCAAGAAAAGTTCCTGTGTAGTAAGAGGAGGTTAAATTTTGTATCTTATTTCCCTATCTGAGGATGGGAATTTTATGGGGTAGGACAGAGAACTAATTTAAGATCTTATGGTAAGAAAAGTATACAGGGAATGCATTCACAGTACAGTCTGAAGATGTTTGTATTAATAGGAATGTATTTTGCAGCCAGATTTTTGTAACATGAATGTGTAATTAGAAACATGCAAGATTTCCTTTTTTACTTATTCTTTCTAATTTATTGTTTACATTAGAATGGTAAAATGTGTTTTTCTACTATACATTAATACATGGATTATTTTTGTTTTCTTTCCTTTTTTTCCCTCTTCTTCCCCCCCCCCCCTTTTTTTTCTCCTTGATGTAAAACTAAGCAGGTAAAGCTTCCTTTCTAATGGTTCTGTTTTGAAACAGTTTTAAGTAGTCAGTTATGGAGTAGGTTCCTCTGAGCTAGGTTTAAAAGTCAAGAGAACCCTTCTCCAGAGGTTCCAAGGTTGTGGTGTTAGATGAAGTTTCATGAAATGTAAGGTGAAGTGTTTGTAAAGTGTTGTAGTTAATACAAAATTTCATTAAAATCAATCTAGAGGTCCAGCTAAAATGTATTTTAAAATAACAAACAGCTGCTTGTGAACTTGCCAAAATCTAAGATTGATTTAGGTAAAGGGTCCTTTTTATAATATCCTTAATGTTTATAAGAGCATTAGAAATAATAGAAACCTGCTAATTTTCTCATTTCTAAACCGGATATGTACTGTCCTTGGAAAGAATTAACTGTGCACCATAGCCAAGTCTGGGTAAAGAAGGAATACTTTTACCATGTCCTTAAAATGTGTATGTTTGGGGTTTACAGCACAGTGCAGGAATTGCAGGATCTTGAGTAATAATTTGAATCTGTTATAACTGAAATACTAAGTTCTGTCACTTTGCTCAGGTACCTATAATGAAAAGAATTGGGAAGTAAATTTTAATTAACTGGTTAGTCATATGACAGTTAATTTAAATATTTTGCCACTTTTGGAGAAAAAGAGAAATCTGTTAATACACAGAATGAAAGATAACTTTTAACAGCACAGGTTAACATAAAAAAAAAGGAGGTTTTTTTCTTCCATCTGCTTTGTCACTGACATGATGTGATAATAGTTATTTCTATAACATAATCCAAATATTAAAATGGTGTGGTTTATGTGTGTAGGGAAGAACAGATGTAAAGCACTGGTTCAGCTGCTGTGTGCAAGTGCACGAAGTCTCAGGTGTGTGCACCATGTCTTAGGCTGGTAGTAAGTTTGCTGGTTATAGTTAGAACTAAGCAGAAGTTGCTTAGAAAATTAGTAAGCAGATGCTGATTTCACAGTGAAATGGCTTGAAAAAGAAACAAAAAAGACAGGTGAGGCAGCTATATGCCAAAAAATAGTAAGGCTTGAGTTATATTTACTAATAAAACTGAAGAACAAGGTGTTGTTTAACATCTGTTAAAAAAAATAATATGGATGTGGATGATCAAATACACAAGTTGCATAGGAAAAAAATTATGCTTTTTCCTGTGTTATATATACATAACTTTTGAAGAAAACAGAAGTCTCATAGTCATGATTTTTAATCTGAATTTCCTAGAAGCTGTGGCTTGCTTAGAGTAGTGAGGAGGTTTTTCTGTCAATGTTTTGATACAGACAGGGCATCTTGTGCTCAGATTTTACATGTTTGCAGTTAGGTACAGAAAATTTGAATCCGTTAGAGTGATGCTAGAGGGTCAGTAGTCCCATTGTTAGGAGAATTTCCACTGTGAAGATCTGCAGAAGGGTTCTCAAATGGCTACACCTGACCATGCTTCAAACACTTTTTGTTGTTCTAAGATCTGAAATTCCTGTTCTCATTCAAACATGTTTCTTGAAGCTGCTGGTGTTTAAAAATAATTATTTGTTTCAATTGTCAGGTAAAGCATATGAAACATTTTACAGAAACAGTCCAGTCCTAGGCTTTCAATGGAATGAAAGTAAAATTATCAAGGGGTCTGCCTGTGTGGAGGAGGTCTTTGAGATGGCAGTATATGAGAAGAGGGGTATTTATACAGGTGTCTTGGAATTCTGTGCACTTTGAATTGTTCTAGAACTCAAAATATCTACACCTGCAATCTACTCAGTTTCCCCTCCCCTCAGTAAATTTGTTGTTTGGTGATATTGCCAATCTATGAATTAAGAAGACTTTTTTAATTGAGGGGGGGAGGGAAGTTTGTTTCGTTGGTCTTTAAAAATAGCATCAACAGTTCTGGCGTTTCTTCATTGTCTCTCTACACCAGTAGATGGTACCTTTCCCCCTTCCCTGCCTGCTACTCAGCCAGAGCCTGAGAAATAGGTGAACCCTTTTGTGGGCATACAGTCTGATGGAAAGAGAGCATATTGTCACCAGTCCTCTGACCGGGAACAAAAGATCTTTTGCAAGTCTTGAACCAGCAACTGTGGCTACTCTTGCTGTTGTTTGTCAGTTGGGTGGGTTCAGAATCCAGTATGAAAAGGCTTTCACGTGCCCTGGTGTGGGCTCCTCC